TTCATGGCCAGGATTTGGCCATAAAAAATTGTATGATCCAAATCACGTATTGTACCTTGATTTTCATAATATGTGTGGGGCACACAAAATTTTGTTGTAAAGTTACACATTATATAAATAAAATTACACCGTATATAAATAAAATTACGCGATGTGCAAAATACACAAAATCGCCGGCCGTTCCTGCCTGTGGTCCAATTGGATCCCGGATTGGACACTGAAAGGCAATATAACAGTAGAGTAGTGTCTTAAAATGCTTGCAAGCTAGCACCAACTAAATATACAATATGCAAGTCGAACCAAGAATCCCACGTCCACGTCTACTGGGCTAAAAGCGTAGGTTCTTTACATAATTGCATCTTACTCTTTTTAGGTGATTAGTACTTGCAAAGCATGAATCATACTTTGAAAGTAGTAATTATCTCCCTCTGAAAGATTGGTAAGTAAAAGGAAAGGATATCAGAACAGAAGCTAACTAGAAGTTACAGTAACCGGTTTAGAACATCAAACTCAATACACTAGGAGAAGATTCTTGCATCTATAATATTTCAGTTTTAGCATATCATGCCCAAGTTGATATCAAAGAAGATTCTTGCACTTTCTTTTTGGCCACAATTAAACTTTTGTAGTAGTGGCATTTATGCTTGGATCATGGCTGCCCCGACATTTTTCCATCACGTTTTAATGTGCCTTATTTGGATTCTATTCTATGGTGCGAGAATGTAGGCCTTGTTTGGCCAACAAGTTTTTGATTAAGTTTATCTGTTACAAGTTTTTTAACAACTTTAGATACAGTAATTCCAAAAAACTTTTCAAAAATTTTAAATTATACACTTCAATAGTAAATTACAGTAAAATTTTAAACAAACACCCAAAAAAACTCATTTACCAAACGGGACCATAATTCTCTGGAATACACTGTTCAAACAAAAGCAATGAATTTTTAAAAATTAATCGATTTTGTTTATGCACACCATTACTAGTATATGATTGAACTTAATATTATTTGACTTTCATTGTTTTACAAGTCAAATTGGTATGGTGTCTTGAAACTTCGCATCTTAAAGTCATTTTTCGTAATTTTACCATCCATAAAAATGTTATCGAGAAAACCACCAGCCTTTGGGTTGGTGGTCACCACTAAGCCATTTAAGATTTGGTGGGATGGGAGGAACCCTTGCCTGCCACCAATTGTCACATTAAGTGGCTTCTTAAAAAATTCAAAACGGGTTCAGTCCCCACCAGCCTCCTAGATCCAATTGGGTTTTCACTTAAATTAGGATAGTATAGGATTCTATAGACAAAGTGACAATTGATTATATTTTTCAATCACCTTTTTATCTTCCATACATTAAAAAATTATATATATTTTTATAAAAACTTCAAAAAATAAATAAAATCTCATTTGATTTATATCTTGCCAAATAATCTATAGCCTACATGAAAAAGGCAAATTGGACCACTATGATGGATCTTAACCTATATGAAGTTATGAACATCTTTAATTCATAGGAGCCTAGTCACGTGACATACATGATACCTTTTTTCCCTTGTTTTTTGGGTTGTAAACATCTACCTCGAAGAGTAGGAAAACCTATTAAGATCAAACTCGTAGACGGGACAAATAATCACAATAATCATATCATAGTTTGATTGAACCTAATGACAGCTGTATCCCAATCAATTTATGAATAAACGTAGGCAATTGTACCTCCTCCTCCTCCTCCTCCTCCTCCTCCTCCTCCTCCTCTCCATCACATCCCCATCCTGAAAGTAAAATAAAATAAAATAAAATAAAAAGTAACTTTTTATGTGGTATCAATATATACACGAGCCGATTTAGATATACGTCACACATGATTTTAACACTTGCAGTATAAAATTAAAATATTTTGTTGTTGCCACGTAAGTTTTGCGTGCCTTAAACAGCGTTACTCGCTCAAATGTGTGATTATATAATTGGTAAAAGACTGGTTGATTCCTAATTTTGGTTGCATTTACGTAAAGCAACAAAGTTGACCTCACATAGTTGTATTGTGTCGTTTGATTATTACAACATGAAACTAATGTCCAATGTGCAGGAAATGTCCCCAGGTCGTTTGGGGCATGGGGTCTCCTTTCTAATAATTCGTGTTTGTTTTTTTGCATGCTTTGATGTCATCACGTTATACTTTTACTTGTTTTTTTAATACAAAATTGTGGCAGTAGTACTTCTCAATGCTAATGATAGAGCACAAAGTAGTACGGCTGTAGAGCATCCAACCGGATTTCATTTCTTTTTTTTTTTTTTCTGGGTAACAATTATGATGCAACAAACCCAATTTGTAATTTTGTCTTGGAAGGGATTGGGGGCTAAATTCTGGCCAAAAACCATAAGTTAGATGCTGAAAATTTGTATCTACAAGAACTTTGAAAGTGGGTTAAGGGAAGAATTGGGAAGAATTTTCTTTCTTTAAGGGGGAAAAATTGGCTGTAATTTTGCAATCCTCTCTTCTATACAACGATTCTCTCCAATTTGTTCCAAGACTTGTCCGCGCACGCATAGTATTGCCCATTTGCAGTTTGAGCATAATTGCTGGGTCAAGACAACCTGATTTTCAATTGCACTTTGTCCGTGGATGAAGATTTTGAATATTTTAAACGTTTACGTCAATAGCTCCAAAAATTGTGTATATAGTATGTATGATGGAATAAAATTTTTAAGTAGTATTTAGACTATGAGTTGCGTAATTCATTTAAACCAGAAAAAACTTAAAAAGTTGCTTAACTTAGTTGCAGACGCATACTGGTAAGCTTGTTTGGTGATGGTCACTTTGGGTAGTCATTAATCTTTGAGAAATGTTTATTGTACTCAATTTTTTGTTAATCGCACTTTCACTATCATTTTTATTATATGATTTTTATTTATTAAATTATGAAAAATCATTCAATACGTTTCTCACATTTTGTAAAATAACTTTTTTCATCCCTTACTTTTAAAAATGTAATTTTATGTCCCTTACAAATTCATATTGGTTAAATTTAGTCTCTATATAGGTTTTTGACTAGTTTTTGGCTGGAATCTAGCATGTGCCTTGCACATGGTCATTTTGAGGGGTAAAATTGTCAAACATATTCCACATAATTTGATCCATAGTCCCTCATATTTCACAAAATGAATTTTTTCGTCCCTTACATTTCACAAAATAAAATTTTTCATTCCTCACACATTGCAAAATGAAAGTTTTCTTCTCTTATTGATCATATGGACGATAGTCTTTTCTTATTTTTGAATACTTATTTATATATATATATATATATATTTGATTTCACATGAACAGTACAAATAACATGTAATATATCTTTATTCAATTTCATCTGAATAAGTTAATTGTAGTTGTAAATGAAATCAAATATAGATATATTACATGCTATTCGTACTGTTCAGATGAAATCAAATAGATGTATACATGGATTAAAAAAAAAGAAACTATTTGTACACATGATCAATGAGAGATGAAAAAAATTCATTTTTTTAAAAATGTGAGGGACAAAAAAATTTATTTTGTAAAATGTGAGGGATGAAAAAATATGTGAAATTTGACTTGACAATTTTGTTTCTAAAAAATGATCATGTGCAAGACATGTGGTATATTCCAACCAAAAACTAGTTGAAAACCTAGCAAATTTGATCAATATGAATTTGTAAGGGACGTAAAATTACACTTTTAAAAGTGAGGGACGAAAAAAGTCATAATGCAAAATGCGATGGACGTTTACCGTCTTGAATGATTTTTCCTTAAATTATATGACAAACCAAATAACGAAAATACAATTAACAAAAGTAAGGTGCGATTAATATTTCCTTAATCTTTAACCTTCGCCAAAATAGAGCCAGCTATAACCAAATGAAGCAAACGCACGTAAAGAAAAACGAAGGCCTTATCATTGTGCATCCCTTCTTAGGTTCCCCTTTCATCCACCCACTCGAAAAGTATTCTAGTCAAAGTTATTATGCAGTACCATCCCCAATCAAATAAGCAAGAAACTCAAATAGCAAAAGCACATTTGACTTTACATAATAAATAATATCTATACAATAAATATATAAAAGGAGAATAACATATTATGTATGTGTGTAAACATACAGTATCACTTTTTAAAACTTTTAATGTACCTTTAATTATAAGGGCAAATTGGTCCCAATATATTCCAAAAAAAAAAAAACTACGCACAATCAGATATTACTTTAAGATCAAATTACAACTTTCTCACACTAATTCCCTCACATTCTCACTTTTTCCTTCACAACTTTTTTTTTTTTTTTTTTTAAAAAGAATAACTTCCTTTAGAGTAGTAATTAGATATTTTAGATAAATACATGTATGTCTATCATGATATGTAACTTAATATGAAAAAAATAATACACCATACATTTTATTGAAAAAAAAACACACATCTACATCTACGGTGTGCCAAAACACACTAGTTTCAGGATTAAGTGTCATGTAACCAATGCCTATCTCGACCTTTAAATTCTATGGACTGGAATTAACCTAGCGCTCTGATTTCTTGGTCATGAATACTTTACAGGGATCCATGTCATATTCTGCAACTTCTTCTTCTTCTTCTTCTTCATTTTTTAGCCCCTCTCGGTGCAACTTACGCACGATTATTGCAATTTGCATACAGTCCCAGGAATTTTTCATGCAGGTATAAACAACCGCTCATAGCCATTGAGTGCACAACTCATCATTGCTTCCAATGCAAACTGTATCCATCCCATTCCTATCTTTATCACCAAAAAACAAAAACAGTAAGAACACTATAAATACCCCATGATGCCAGCCTCTTTCCTTCCCCTTCCTCCTCTCCTCTCCTCTCCTGTCCTCCCGTTCTGTACTTCTAATTTCTAAAGCTCTAAACTCCTCCATGCCGTTCAATTTCACGATCTCCTCCTCCTCTGGCAAGACTGATACATGATAAATCACTCACGCACAAATAAACGATTATCCATTTCATCCCACCTCATCTCCACCACACTCCTCAATCAATTACTTACAAATATATCCACGTCCTCTCACTTTCAGTAACCAGAAAAAGAAAAAGCACGGCCCCCCTACTTCCCAGAAGAATTAGCACGACAAAAACAAAGAAAATACTACTACGACATTCCAGAAAAAAGAGAACCGTACAATCATCAAAATGGATCATCTCAAATTTGTAATACCAGCCAGTGAGGCTGAATCGGTGGCCCAATCATTGGGTCTCCCCTCCGTCCTCCACCTCCTCCCCACCTTGGTTCAACCGGCCCAGTCCCTTGCTCGTCCTCCCATCTCCAAATTCCCCGTCGGGGCCGTCGGCCTCGGCTCCGACGGCCGCGTTTTTATAGGCGTCAATCTCGAGTTTCCTGGTCTCCCCTTAAATCAATCCGTCCACGCAGAGCAGTTCCTCTGCAACAACCTCGCCGTCCATGGCTGCCCTCGCCTCATTGCTCTCGCCGTCTCCGCCGCCCCTTGTGGCCACTGCCGCCAGTTCTTCCAAGAACTCCGGGATTCTTCCTCTCTCCAAATCCTCATCACCTCCGACCACCCAAATCAAAACTTTTCAAAATCTCCCCTCCCCTTTAAGCCATTGCCGGAATTCTTAACCAACCCATTTGGCCCCTGTGATCTGTTGGATAAAGAATCTCCCCTCCTCCTCGAACCCCATAGCAATGGGCTATCTTTTGATACTTCCCGAAAACACGCAAATTTGTGCAATGGATATTCAAAAGAATCCGAACTTGATGGGAACTTTAAAAATTTAAGCAATGGGTTTAACGGAGAGCTGGAAGAAAGTGAGGCCCTTCTGAGGATAGAAGCATTGGAGGCTGCCAACAAGTCACATGCACCGTATAGCGGGTGCCCATCCGGGGTGGCCCTGATGGATCCCGAAGGGAAGGTGTACAGGGGATCATATATCGAGTCTGCAGCATATAATCCGAGTTTGGGGCCGGTTCAGGCTGCACTGGCGGCGTATATAGCTTGGGGAGGAGCTGGATACGAGAGGATTGTGGCGGCAGCTCTGGTGGAGAGGGAAGGTGCTAAAGTCAGTCATGAGGATACTGCGAGGTTGCTGTTTAAGAGGGTCTCACCTAAGTGTGAGTTTAGGGTGTATCATTGCTCTTCTGTTGAGAATGGATGTAAAAAATCTTCAGAATGATCTGAGGTAGCAAATAGTATTCAGGGTCGATGTTGTGATTGAATTGCCTGCAATTGTGGATTTTGTACGTCAGATATCTCTATCGGAAGTGAAGGGATGAGTCAATAATATTTGAGAATCTAATAAGTTCTTCGTTTCTATAAATTTTTGTTTTTGGTGTGTGTGTGTTTCCTGTTTTCATGGCATCCTAGTTGCATAGGCTATATGTGTATCATTGCAATTGCTATGTGATCTCTTCACTTGAACTCGCTCCTACTCCCTGCGCTTATGGATAGTGATCCCAATATAAACTAGAGTTTCGAAGGAATAGAATTTGAAAAAGCTTAGCATCTGCTGATTCACAGATCAATCCCGGATGACAACTGGTGCGGCCGTGCAGGTATAGCCGTACAAGTAAAGCATGACTCTGTTATTATTGTCTGCGGACCAGTTAATGTTGTTTGAGGTGTATAATTACTAAATAATTAGTAATTTTATTATGCTTTCTGTTGATATTTCATACTCTGACTATCATAGAGGCCTTTTAACAGTTATCAGTCTTATGGCCTTTCATTTATTAATTGAAGCAATGAAATGCACAGCATCATTCATGTAGCAAGCCTGGTTTCAGATTGTAATCAAATGATTACAAGTCAAACAAAAGCATGGGTAGACAGTACCTTTAAGCGGATGCGATTTCGCTCTTCTTGATTGAGAACAAACTGTAACTTCAAGTGCACATGCCCACCTCCATCAAGAGGAAATTTTCATCCCAAGAAACCTTTTCAACAATCGACATTGTCTGAATGCCTGCCATGAACCCTTATCAGGCTCCGTGTGACTAAAATGATAAACCAGTAGGTAATATCTTTAAGTGATTTGGGTATGTGTTAAACCTGTGAGAGCTATTTCATTTCCCTCAGCATCCAGAAGCCTAACAACCAAATTGTCGTGAAGAGTTGTCAATGGGCTGCATAATGTTAAGTACATTAAGAGTCTTATCTTCCTTGAGTTAATAAATTAAGAGGAACATCAATACAAAATAAAACTTCAAGTAGGGTTCATTACAATAAGAAGTCCCCTGTATCTGAAGTTTGATACTCTCTTTTCCCCAGGGAAACTGCATCACAATAGATATTCATCAATACATTCTCTCCAGTGTAACTATATAAGTAAGGGTGCTGAGGTCTTGCACCTTCTAACAATCCACGAAACCTTAAAAGGGAAGGAGGAGAGTTGACTACTTACGCTTCAAGCATGTTGAAGGAAGGCCCTTGAATTCCAAAACTGTGGTGCATCAGTAGAAATAGGTGTACTTGAGAAAAGTTTTAAAAACTTTCGTTCTGAAATATAACAATAAAGGGAGGGAGTCTCTCAATACCTGAAACTTGGACAGTTCCTGGCATCAGAAATGGAAATCTGGAATGGAAGTTGACCAGATGAGCTAAAACGAAGAAGAAAGTTGAGGGATTATTATTTTTGCGGCAAAAGATTCCAGTTTAAAATTCGAGAGTTTCAAGTCAATTGCAATCCGTATGAAATGCTGGAGACTCCTAGGACAGTTATGAATTCCTGGGCAGAAATGGAATGCGGATTTCAGATTGGATGAAATAATGGAAGCTCGCAGATGCAGATGTGGTTGGACTGGAGGAAAGGAAAAATTCATGCTGGGGTCCAGTTTTTTTCCCTGCTGCTTATTAACCACCTCAAAAGGCAGAACGCCAAATTTGTACTTCTGTCTCTACTCTCTCCTCCGCCTCAGCTTGGCTTTTTCGCGAAATCGTCAACTAATTGTTGTCAGGAAACTAATTCAGTAGTATGAGATTATCAGATTATTGTTGGTGCAAGAAATGGAACGAACTGATTTCTGACTCTGTCATTAGGCCAATGTAATTCAGCTGGATGCATGGATTGATTAGAGGTTTAGAAACTTTTAAGCACACAAATCGTTCCACGTGGGAAGTTAAAGAGCCCAATGTTTACTACAATGAAATTGGCGGACGTTCTGCGAACTCCAATAAATGCAGAAACCATCATAGCCTAGAAGTCCATACATCATGAATGCCCAAAAATTTGATCGCATTATTGCCTAAGGAATATGGACCTGCGGAACACAGGCCCGTAGGCAAGATTACTTCGGGCATGCCCCAGCTTCGAACATGGCCCAAGCGCGCAAAGGTTCTGTTTCGTGGGAGTCCCAGAACAAGTTGCTCGGGAAGGAAGCCAACTTGAAAGGCATTATGATTGAAATTATGCATGGCTGGCTAGCTTTGTAGATTATTGCTGAGAAGGATGATATTACCAAATTAAGAGAAACAAAAATCAAATATGCAGTTAAAGCATTCTTAGGAAAAAGCAAAACCACTCAAGTACTGAATCCGCCAAATCAACTATTGAATCCACAAAGAGCAAAACCACTCAAGCACTCATCTTTGCTTTCCCTGTCAAGTGTTTCTCCTCTACAACAAAACTCAAAAACTAAGGATATTAGTCGTGGTGGCTAGTGTCAGCTCCTTTCCATTAACTATCAAACTGGTAGTTGACAGCAACAATGTACACGAAGAGTGAGTACTTTTGCTTCAATCAAGGATGAGCCAAATCATACCCGTCTTGAGAATAGGTCAGTACATAATTAACCAATACACTTCAGATACTGGGATGGATTCCTTTTGAATGAACTGCTTCAGAATAGCTTTCTCTTCATCAATACGCTGCTTCTCTTTACGATTCTGGGGTTTCACCTTTCTTTTCTCTTCAAGTATCCACTTGAATAGCTCACGTTGTTGGTCTTCTGGGACAGGCTTTTGCACCTTCACAGGCACTTCAGGGGAAGGAATAAAGGGAGGTTCCTCATGCACTGGACTGGTTGTCTCAACTGGAGGAGGGGGTACAGCTTCTACAGCTTTGCTGCTCTCTGCATTGATCTGTTTCTTTTTTGGCATGATGAACAGATAGGCTGCAAAAACACCCATTGAAGATTAGCAATTGGCTGGAGATATCAAATTTGAGGGCTTTCTGTGTGACAGAAATAAGAAGTTAATTCAATATGTTCTAACGTAAATGATCTCAAGTTGGAAAACTAATTACCATTCAAGAAGCAAGAAATATCAATTCTCATCCTTTTTTCTCCACATCAAAACTCATACATCAAAGATGCCCCAAAACTAGCATGCTGCATTTCAAATTGTTGCAAGTTTTGAATTTATATGCATCAGAGCCTCAAGGTCCCACGTTAACCAAATGTAAACACTGTATCTTTAAGTATTACAGGTAGCAAGAAGGATATTGCACAGAGAAAGTTTTAAGAAGTAATTGATCAGGCCTTCTGATCCCGCCACAGGCTGAGATGGCAGCCAATTCCATGGGCAGTGTGCCTGGACATAGCCCTACAGGTCTGTTTATGGCCTTTACAGAATAAATATTTGTCAACAATACTTGCAGTAAGTTGACAAGCATCTGTCCACGTACAGACAAACTATCCCACATATGCTTGGTAAGTAAATAGCAAAATTCTGGATTTTGAAATGGTCGTAAGACATCTCTCTTTTCAAGGTTTTAGATTAGTTTACCAGTATCCTCTTAGCTATTCTTACTTCCTCACCTCAACAGCAAGATGACATAAAAAGCAAAAAGATTGAAAAACTTTAGTATTGAACAAAAAGTATCAACGCAAACAACTTAGACTAGGATTTGATTCCCATTGAGAAAGATCTCATCCCCGAATAAGTCAAACTATTCTTATACAATGGTTTTGATCAAGGCAACAGAAAATTTTGATCTCAGCATAGATGGTGGGGTTCTATAGTTAAACAGCCCACATACTCACGTATAAGAGCCAAGCAAGCGCGTTGATTGTAACAATAACTGATCCACTCGGCTATTTGTCAAACCTAAATACTTTCTTATCCATTTACCTACAAACATAAAAAATAGTAGCCTGTTCATGTTGTTGACTACAAATGCATAAGAGACAAAAGGGGTATAGCCAAATGAAAATCAATAGCTAGTCAAGATTTTATGTCATATATTTTGGCTGACATGGTTAATTAGCCCACTTCAAGAAAAAGAGATTCCCTGCCTCAGTCTGCAGGCAAAATACTTCGCTGAGTCCCCTGAAAACCAAATCTAAAAGTTCACAGTATTTAAGTCCATATCGCAGGTTCATCAACAGCAGGCAAAAGGAAATAATGACTACAACATCTTACTACACGTATGGAAAAAAAACCTTCCATTAATTCCTGAAAAAAAAATCAAAACCAGCCATACACTGCCCTGATCATTCAACATTTAAGTGTCAGCACAATGTGACGTCCTATCATTAAATCAAACAGAACATAGGCAACCATTCCCCCAGTGCCAATATCCCCACCTCCCTTTCCTCCAACCTTCTGGGGCCAAAAGGGACATGCCTCAAACCCCATTTCAAACGATCACCGCCAAGCACACTATCCTGAACAAAATGCATGGACGTATAAAAATGCAATATTGTCAAGAAGGACGAGGAACCCAAGTAAAACAGCAACTCAAGAATGCGGGGAAAAAAAATGAAGAAGCTGGGCTTCAATCGTTCAACGCAGAGCATCTTCATAAATCCCCGCAATCACCATTTCACAGAGCAAATTCAGCAGTAATGTAGACGTGCATTTATAATGCAAGCACGTACAGAAATAAGTAGCGCGAGTGCAAGAAAGAAGGATAGTAGTATTGGAGTTGTTTTTTGGGGAGGTGGGTGCTGACCTCCAAGAACAAAGTTGGAAATTAAAGCAGCACGCCAATAGAGTTTCATGCGTCTGATTTTTTGGTCAGTGGGAAGCTGAGGTGCTGACCACGCCGCCGAACTTGGATTACTATTGGAACCACCACCCTCCATCTCTTTCGTTTTCGGCCTTTCTCCGCCTCTTCTAGCTCTGAATCAATCGATCAGACTGTTGTTTTGGGCCCCAACAGTCCTAAATAGTTTAGTTCTTCAGCTTTCACGTTTCAATTCAACGGGCATCGACGGATCTGAGGCCCGTTAGGTTAGGAACTGGTGCTCCGCGCTTCCGTGCCACGTTCATGCACTGCTTATAGAATTTTATTTTGGTGTACAATCACCCTAAGTATATCACTAGTATTTTGGGTTAGTTCAAATAAATCCCCACAAAAAAAAAAAAAACTTGCCTCCC